ATTCTCATGGGTTGTAATGAAGAAAGATTTTTGAATATGTTGACCGATTATTTATTTACTCTCTCAAATTCATACATTACATGCTTGCACGTTAACATAAAGGACACATTTCACTTCGTTTACATCTCTAACAATTATTCTGAGACGATGTGTCACAAGTAATCTGAATGGCGGTGTGTTGCTGCCGTCATCATTGCTGCTGTCAACCACCTCTCAATCGACCATGTTAAGAAGTGTGAAGGTGGTAGAGGTAGAGTGTGTGTGTGTGTGTGTGTGTTTAGAAGACCATAGTGAGGGACAAAGAGCATTAGGCACAGAGCCTTAGTGGAATATAGTATGAAAAGACCTGTACTCTCTCTCGATGTTAAGATCCCTATTATCCTTACACAATTTACTACCAAGAGAACTTATACATGTTAGCCCTTTACTGTATGTAATTTCGGTAGAGTGTCAGTGCAATTTAGATATTTTCCTTTTGTTTGTGATTTACACATAATGAACCAGTAAGGTAGATTCTTACATCTTCAGGAACGAGAAGTATTCATGGTAAGATTCTTTGTGACTCTGGAAGTGACTTAAAATTGCGAATAATATTGACCCCCCAAAAGGTTTGGAACGAAACTTCCCTCGTATTTCTCGTTATGTTTGACGAATCGAATTTTGTCGAGATTTTATTGACAATTTCCTTTCGGTTTAATAATGTGACTGATGTATATCTTGCTTTCATTTTGACAATCTTTTTCATCTTGGAAAAAACAATAATGATCATATTCAAGTGTGAAATTTATTATTTAGTATTGTATTTATTCATTTATCACTCCCTTTGTACACGAGCAGCCACTGCCTATAGCTATACCCAACTCCTGAATATATCCCATTGGTATACCTACCACATACTTTCACATTATAACCATGCCTGTGGAAACATACCTGGGATAAAGCCTACATTGTCATTGTAATAATATGTTGATGGTATACCAGAACCTGTGCTTAACAAAAGGGTCGTCGGAGGTGCAGCTGCCATCACTTGGCTCCTGATAGCACTCATAACTGTCGTAGTGTGTATTTAAAGCATCAATGGCTTGTATGTGTACGCTCTAATCTGTTCTGTGAATATTTACTTGTGTGTGTTCCGAGATTAAATTTAAGGCGCTGTTAGCACGAGTTTTTACTTTTCAGTATGATGTATTCAGAGAGTAAACTGTCAGCACCATTAGAGTGTGTGTTTACTCCACACAGTATACATATAATATATTCTAGGTTCCACACGAGTTAATATTTACATCAGGCTCACTGGGTGATATACAGTAGTTGTACCTGAATGTTTAGCTGTCAACCTTTAACCAAGTGTTAGGTGTTGGTCATCATACATTCAGACTCAATACACAGCGAAGCGTTGAACGCGCATGACCCTAATTTTCAAATAAAATTGACCAATTCAAAGGTCGGGTCAGAAAAACAAAACAAAAACGAGTGCTTATATCCCAACCAACATGGGAGACCATAACCACCTCAGACAAATGTTAGTCTTTAATGTGAATGGATTATAGTTTATACTGATAGGTGGAGAGCAATAATGTGAATATTACAAGCATGGCAAAGTTATATATTGAGAAGCTGCACCAATAGTCAACAAGTAACGTGTAATACTTCAATATGAAAGGAAAGGCGTGTGATGTAAACCAACGAGCCCACATGATACAACACGACAGTTCTCCAACCTATTCTATTCCACGGTTGATATAGTACAATCTGTGTCAGGCCTCGCACTATCTACCTCATCTTGGTAACACTGGGATATACAACTAATAGAGGTACTCAGATCGGATTATATATACTGTACAAGCTTTGGAAGGCAATTTTGTCCGTCAGCATGAGATAGACATTAAATGGGGAACTATGCCATTATAGATGACTATGTGTAGTGTGAGTTACGGACGCAAATAAACTATTACCACGATGCCCTGACCCTTACGACAGGGCATATACGGCGCCACCATCACATTTTACGAGGCAGGGAGATATTTCATCACTCAGCGCACATAACGTAAGGACAAGATCAGTAACAAATAGGAGCCCTGGTGGGGTTATTGATTATTTATGTCGTTGTTAATACAGTGAACAAGTCTCGACTTATAGTATTGCATTATTTCCTCTTTGCGTTAAGTTCTGCGATTAAACACAATCCAAAACTAACTTATACAGTCAGAAATATAGATTAGAGGATTTTTGCTAGGACTGTAAATTTCAATCTTAAGCCTTGGTATTTTTTATAGGTCTTTACGGATAAGTTTAACGAATAGAATGCACATCAGTTAGGAGAAAAATATATGCGTATAACTGGTCCCATGGGAGTTGGCTGTGTTTGAGTAACCGCTCATGAACTGGCCATGCACGATTAAAAGTTTGTCCAGAATGTCCTCTAATAATGATTTTATATTATAATTTATTCAAAATTTCAATCGTCATCCCCAAAATTTTTAATACGTTTTCTGTGTATCATAGATCAAGTTGACTTTTCATGGATGACTAAACAGTATGCTATATCTCTATAGTGTTTTCTGTGACAAACTTAAGCGTTAATATGACTCATATGTGACCCTCTTTCATAAACTTTTAGTCGATGGACTGTATATGTTGCAGTTATATTGGCTCTCAGAAAATTATCCTTTATATGCAATGATACAAAACGCTTACCGGACTCAAGCTATCTGCATTGTAGCTGTGTTTTCTGAACTTTGATCACAGACTTTGTTGTCGTGATGTAATGAACCGAAATTGAAATTGAACATGAAATAAAAACCACATAAATTTGAATTAAAAAAAATCAAGGATACCCTACACCCTTGATAATGTTTTACTCAATGACGTAATAACACGAGAGAAGCCTTTTACCTTAGAGTCTTGGACTATATTTAAGATCTGATAAACGTGAGATCAATGTTTTAAAGTATTTAATTGTTGATGACCTCGACTAAGCACCTATAAAGACCTTAGTTGTTGTGGCACAGTAATGCATTGTAACGTCAACATTACGATCTGTCTAAAGGTTAAACGGAAGAACACTTTTCAGTTTACATCCCACATTCATTTCACTTTATACACTACAGTAAATAGAAAACCAAGAGAAACTAAATGAATAACGAATACAAAGAGCTGCCGGGAACCTGTTCAAAAATTTGCCCCATATACCTCTCGTCAACAGCTCCTCAAATTACAGCTCGTAGCTCAGTATAGTCTGGAGGTGCGTCCTGGTCTCAAATGAACTTTACAGATAAGATTATAGTGTTAGTGTTAACGCAGATCACGTCTATAAACAGCGTGAAGGCCGGAGTATGACTGCCCAAGTTTTATTAGCGGAGATAGTTTATAGAGAGAGGATCACGTCTTTGCCTCATATCTCCAGTTTTCTCTTTTTTCTTTTTAATATTTGTGTGTAAAATTATACTGTAGAGTGTAGACCCTAACTGAAAAGCTCCTCGGTGTCAGCTAACATGAAAAATGAATGCTCGTAGTCACACCTGTGCCTTTAAATCACAAAGTCCCGAACATTCTCCTCACTGAATACTGCCAAACTATCTCCCCAAATGGGCAACAGTTGGGCGGGACGAACAACACACTCTGCCAGTCTTAACATACCTCTTCGAGTTGAATGAATCATTATTTTTTTGTTAGGTGTTTGTATCGTATTAACCCTTTCGACCCGGAGAATTAGAGTGCTACTTGACGAGCTTAAAGTGAGCAGGGTTGGGGGGTAGACCAGTAGAGGGTAGGTACATGTCAAAGGTCAAATATCGGAAGAGGCGTATCCTGTAACACACTCATAGTAAGAGATCAGTCTGCGATATTAAAAACTGATGCATTCCCTTCACTCCCTGGATCGAAAGACTTAAAAATACCAGAACAATATATATATATATATATATATATATATATATATATATATATATATATATATATATATATATATATATATATATACGATCACCTATCTGTACTTTGTGTATCAACTATATGAATCCGAGTAAATAAAAATCCATTATATATATGGTAACTCCAATTTAACTGGTCCTCTAGACATCATCCATTCAGCGCCTGGGTTCAGCTTTCACCTCAAGAGTATAATAAAATCGAGACTGTCGATCAATGGTCATATTCTAAATATACTGTATACCGTGGAAGTTGACTAATGAATCCTGTTATCAAGACATCATGCATTAGGGATTCATTTTTACATGTATAATCGAGACGGCATATTTAATTGGTTCACTTTATTGTGGCGATTCCTTTATGAAGATGCATTATAAGTGTGAGAGATAGTTGTGAAAGTAAAGGGATAAAGAGAGGAAGGGAGTGAGTGAGAAAGAAACATAGAATGAGGAGGAGGAGGAGGAAGAGAGAGAGAGAGAGAGAGAGAGAGAGAGAGAGAGAGAGAGAGAGAGAGAGAATAACACATCAACCAGACATTCCTGAAGGCTGTACCGAGTCAAGGATCAGAAGATCATGCTTGGTCACCTATTAAAGTGATAACCTTGACTTCTCTGCCCTCTCTACTAACCACCTCCCTGCCCTCTCAACTGACCTGTTCTCCCTCTCTCCGGAGCTGTCCTCAACATAAACTAGCCCCCGTGCGGGACAAATTAAAAATTCAACTGACCTTTTTCATATGGTAATTTAATTAGTGATATGCAAATGTACGATAGTATAAATCGTAATGCATTATCGTTAACACTATCTGGAAATAATATTAATAAACAGAAGTGACAATCTCAGCGTGCAACCTCAGATTCCCTTAACATTTATTTAACTAAACCAAATATAGCTAAACTAATCAGCTAGGCATAACTTGATCAAATGTCAGACTAAATATGTGAGTCACCAAATGAACTAAAACCAGCACCATGGAGGAGTTGGGGAGGTGCTAGTCGTATGAGGTGTTGCGTGCGTGCGTGTTTTTCAGGGCAACAACAACACAAATTAAAAGGTAAACAAATACTCACCATTCGTTGCAGTTGAACTTGTAACTCTGACCTACAGGAATGACGACGCCGTCCTTGAAGCACGCTGTAGAACAATAAGTTTTGGTGTATTGTTCAGTATTACATAAACTATTACAAGTTAAAGTACAGTAAAAATTCTTCGTGATTTTAGTCATTGTTGTGATGATACTTCTTCTTCCACTCCTATGCCCCCCTTACCCCTGTGTTCGTGACTTGCCCCGCTGGTAAGGCTCAGTTGAGAGAAGTTGAGTGGATTTATTCCCTCGTGTTCCTGGGTGTTTGTGTACAAGCAGTAGGGGTGGGGGTGGGAACATGTGCGTCCTCTTCTCCCCCACCTTGGCAGCATATTTGTCTATTAAAGAGTTGTTTCACTATCGCCAAGCACACCCGATTCTGTACCTATTTAATGCTGTATGAACAAAGAAAGAACAATGTCCTCTTACTGGGTAACAGAACCGTACATTCTGTGCAAGGTGGATCTCAGAAATATTACAGCAACCAACAGTAATAATGCGGAGCTCATGCTTGCCTACTTTGACTTATACAATTTATAGGCACGAGTATAGGTCCCTAGTAATGCCAAGTGCCAGCCAGGTCTGTCTCTAGGAGAATCTATCTTGTCTGACTTCCTGACTGTGAACTTTGACCTCACAAACTCAACGTATCAGGGTATGTTATTTTCAATACCACATCAAATGTTAACTTAGGGCAGCTGTTAGTGAACTATACTGGCAACAGTTGGGCGCACACACACACACACACACGGTCACCACAGAGAATGGCGACGGCCATCACCCGTAAAGTCGTCCATGAGTAAATATTTACAAAAGGTTCAAACACCGCCTCACTTATTTAACCTTGAATAATACCTACGTGTGAGTATTCAAAATGTTTTACAATATAATCCCTTGAAGTGAACCTGATAAAACACTAAGCGCTGTCACCTTTGTGCCCTGACTGAGGTGGGTCCGATACATGCGGTCTCTTACCGTTAGTTAAGGATAATTATCTAAAGCGAGAACTTCTGAGATTTCCATTTCATAAATATTAAAGAATCTCACTTTATTTTCATGGTCGAAATAAATTCGTAAAGTACTAAATCTGAGAAGCAATTAGAATAATATTTTGGCTTCAACAATTAATATGAACGTGCTAGAATAAATTTAGACTGTGGTGACCAGGGCTACTGTACCCAGTGTATAGTTCCACGCACCGACGTAAGTGATTCAGCTCTACATAACGAGATCCAGCACTCCGTAGTAGATCTTTACTTGATCCTCATTACCCAGTCACTCTTGCCAAGTATACACCGGCTCACCCTGGCTGCTGGCAAGTGTCGTCACTGGCAAACGAATGACTCATCAAGGCCGCTAAGGGTCTACAAATGCCAGATCTGTGACTAAATAGTATTTATAGGATACCACAGGGATTAATTTCGGGTGTGGTGAAAGTTATGAACGTGGTTTTGTGTTTGCTTAGACGATAAAACCATCAGCGAGGGAAAATAGTCTTCCTCGTCCCATCAATAACGGCTCTTGTTGATTTTGTTCTTATTGTGGTTAAGTTATAGCATTGAAGCTCTTAAGAAAATATTTATATTATCAAGAGATTAAAATACTACAAAAATCAAAGGAAAAAAGAACACAACCATTTATTCTGAATTGGTTATCGAAATAAAAAAACATTATGTAATTTTTAAAACCATAAGAGTTTCTGGGCGAATGCTTATTACCTAAGAAACGACAATGAAATGTATGCCAAAATATTCCTCCAAGATATTAGAATCCATTAAAAGATGTGATTTACCACTACAGTACTCACATTACTCAGAGTTAGGGAGTAGACCACCGCCTCCCCTCGCCCCTCACACTCTGGCATATGACACCTGGTTAAATAATACTCGGTGACCCATTCACGCTAAACCTAGGCTTAGCTCAACGTTGGCCTACTTGTATTGGCCAAAGCGCGCGGGGAATGAGGAAATAGGAACTGGCTCTATTAGTATATTCAGGTATATGATTTAGTGTCGTTTTCAATTAATAAGTCCATTGCAGGTCCAGTATAACCTTTTCTTTTATAAAGTCACATTATATACCGTCAGGAAGTTTGACCCTACAGTACTTAGAGCCAGTAAATCCGAGACGATGATCACAACTCTACCACCCGCCGTCAGATTATACCCAACTGGTAAAAGACATTGCTGACACTGACATAATATACGATCTATTAAGTCGTAGTTCACAGGCATTTGGATTTGGTGGAAATTTTTTATTAGATATAATCAGAAATTGCCAATCTGTTTCTTGCTTTATACAGAATTATATATTTATATGATTAGAATTAGGGTAAGACAATATCTTATACAATATGTGTGTGTGTGTGTGTGTGTGTTACTAAATATATTATTATTAACCTCCATTAAATAAAATGAAAAATTACAGAAGAATATGTGCACTTTGATTAGATTTGAATATGGTTTGATAGCTAATCTCGAAATGCGATTCACTAGCGCCGGGGAACACGTATGGACATTAATTCTTAAAGGTCAAGACTGAGATTGGTATACAAAATGAAGATTTATACTAATACTGTAAACTAATTTCACAAATAAATAAATAAACGTAACCTAAGTATATATATGTTCGTGGTAATTGTTTAAAAGTTTATTCATATGAGGAAAAAATGATTCAGTCTCTTAATACATTCTGAGCATCAAAGTTGTTTACTTTTACCTGTTGATGTCTGGTACTTGGGTAACTGGGTGGTGAGGATGGACTGGGTAATTAAATGAGAATGTACTAGTAGAGAGGATATCCTTACATAAGGTGAGAACAGGAAAGTGGCAACGGAGTTCTATTATTGTACACACACACACACAGCGTTAACTAACCATCAAGTAAAGGATCCAGGGGCCTGAAGCCCAGGCACAACTCCCAGTAGTCAGGGCAACAGTCAGGGTTGCTCGTTCTGTTGCAGAATTGGTCACAGTAACATCGCGTGCCCCGAATAGGCATGGAACAATCGTCGTATCGTCCGTCACAACACGAGGTCGGACGCCTGCAAAGAGAGGAAGAGAAAGGAGAGTTACTGGTACGCATGGAAGAGAGCTCAATGTCCGTAAGATATTAAATTGGTACACTTGAAGATAAGTTGACATGCTTGGATGATATGATGGCAGAGTTGGAAAATTTGTTGGTATGCTTGCAGGATGGGTTTGTATGCTTGCAAGATGGATTGGTATGCTTGCAAGATGGATTGGTACGCTTGCAAGATGGATTGGTATACTTGCAGGATGGAATGGTATGCTTGCAAGATAGATTGGTATGCTTGCAAGATAGATTGGTACGCTTGCATGATGGATTGGTACGCTTGCAAGATGGATTGGTACGCTTACAAGATGGGTTAGAGTGCTTGCAGGATGGAATGGTATGCTTGCAGGATGGGTTGGAATGCTTGCAAGATGGAATGGTATGTTTGCAGGATGGGTTGGTATGCTTGCAAGATGGAATGGTATACTTGCAGGATGGGTTGGAATGCTTGCAGGATGGGTTGGAATGCTTGCAAGATGGAATGGCATGCTTGCAGGATAGGTTGGAATGCCTGCAAGATGGAATGGTATGCTTGCAGGATGGGTCTATGATTGCAAGATGGGTTGGTACGCTTGCAAGATGGATTGGTACGCTTGCAAGATGGATTGGTATGCTTACAAGATGGGGTGGTATGCTTGCAAGATGGATTGGTATGCTTGCAAGATGGAATGGTGTGCTTGCAGGATGGGTTGGTATGATTGCAAGATGGATTGGTATGCTTGCAAGATGGGCTGGTATGCTTGCAAGATGGATTGGTATGCTTGCAAGATGGATTAGACTGCTTGCAGGATGGGTTGAAATACTTAGAAAAGTTAAGTTGATAAACAGTGAGGGAAGGTACATGCGTGATATAGGACGAGGAGGTCACATGCTAACAAAAGAGGTCATTATTGGTAAGAGCTGATCCTTGAAGCTTAGAGAGCTTTGTTGTGCTTCAGTGACATTCTCTTGCTGCTGCTGCCGGGGACTTAATGTGAAGGGTAACCACAGAGTAGAAATACCACTAGGTGAAATATTGGTCGTGCCTTATCACCGACTCGTACTGACATGGAGGCTAGCATGCTTTATCCTCGACTACCACACACACACTACATGCAGGTTACCACCACATACTATATCCAAGGCTGCCACGTGCTACAATCAAGGATACCATACATTACAACCAGGGCTAACACGCACACTATACTAAAGGCTAGCACATGCTATAGTCAGGACTATCACACACATACATTATATGCAGGGATACCACAAATACAACCAAGACTATCACACACACACACAATATATACAATTACGACTAACACACACACACACACACACACACACACACACACACACACTACAATACCCTCACCTGACTCGACAGTAATCGCCCTTCAAGTCAGCGAACGAATCAAATTGAGCGGTGGCCAGAGGCATGGATATCACGCCTACCATCACTACCACTACCGCCGCCCACAATACAACTGGGGGGGCTGGGCTAAGCCAACTCTCGCTCCCAATTTTCTTTGCGATGGAAGACTCCGCCATTCTTGTGAACTTCTCCCAGCACGTTTTAAGTACCTGTTGGGTGAGAAATAAGATCGAAACGTTATTCCAGAAGTTGTACGTAGATTCAATATGGTGCAGCATCAGTCATGGGGAAGTAGTGCATCAGGAAACAGAAAGTGATACGTCATAAAGCAGGAGACAGTACATCAGTATCAGTTAGAAATATATCCGTAGTAGAAAAAATACTCTTGGGCACATAGTAAGCTCCACATAGTGCATTATAGAGAAACCTTCTGCTGAACTGCCATTAATAAAGTTGTAAGAAACTAAACTAACTTAATGATTCTAGGTTGGATTGAGTCAGGTTAGGTAAGTTTAGGTTATGTTACGTTACATTGCGTTTGGTTAAGTTACGTTTGACGGATTGTTTACGAAAGATTAGGTATTATGTTAGCTTACGTTACGTTAATTTATGTTAATTTTGATTAACTTAGACTGTGTAAGGTTATTTTAGATTTGTTTTGCTTAGGTCTGGCTGAAATGGTTTGCCAGTTTGTTGGCTTAAGAAATACAAACCAACGTAACGTAACCTAACCATGGGGTAGTTAAGTCAGGTTAGGTTATACTGTAGGTATAATTTCCTCCTTACGCTGGGTTGATACGGATGTCAAAAATCGGACCAATCACAGAGGGGCTAACGCTCTATCTGTTCTCTTAAGTTGAAAAATTTAACGTCAAACACTGACGGAGAAGAAACAATATGGAGCAGCTTTATACCAGTTAATTCATATTTGTTGAATATAGCAATACGTAATTAACAATATGGTGAAATAAACCTTGTGTAATAGTAAGCAGTGGTCAATATAGTTAAATATAACTCGCTTAATATAAGAGTAAAGAGGCTCCAATATATTAAAGGTATCTCTTGTATAATATAACAGTGAGCAGTCTACGATATACAGGGGGTAATGTAATATATCACGTGTAATATAACTAAGTAATCGACACTATGGAGAAATATATTGTGTAATCTGTTTGGAAGTTGAGTTTCATGTTATAGTCAATTGCGAATGTCAGAATACCTAGTTTATATATCAACATAGCCTTTGCTTTACACGCCACAGACAGTCTTCCGGTGGCGACACAGAGCTATCTTTTGGGTTAAATGTCACGTCTTATACCAGTACATTACGTTGACCCCATCATTATCTTTATGAATCCGGACTGTTAAAGGTTCGTAACTTATGAATCTGGATTCTTGAAGATTTGTTAATATTTGTTCCAGTATTGTTGAATCAAACCTAATCTAACGAGTTCATGAGTATGGATTAACCGTTTGTCAGCCCGTCCGTCTGTCCGTCATGAGCATAAGCTATACCAATTAAATATCATTTTAAAAACAAACGGCCAAGCGGGATCACCCCCCCAGACTCCTCATGATCTGCCTTGTTTGTGGTCTCAGCCATATTTATGTATCGTTAGACTAAACAGTTTAAGGCATCTCTGTGGTGTTCCCTCTACCAAGGTCACCCTCTTAAGGTCATGGTGTTCCCTCTACCAAGTCACCCTCTTAAGGTCATATATTTTTCTCATCAATTTAGCAACTGTCAGAACTCGCCCATACCTACTTATCTATTTCGTAACACTAAAACGTTTCTGTTGATAATTATCAAGTTATTTTCAGTTGTTGTTGTCTCTGATTTGTTCAGGACTTGTGTATTTTTTTAACCCAACATAAGCGCTTAAGGACCTTAGTTGTAAAGTACAGCAATGCATTATAACATCGATATTTGTAATACAGTATATACAAGTACAAGGTAAAGTTCACTCGTGATGATTAATTATCAATCAATGAATTAATGAACAAAATGTCAAGTCTACAAGTAACAATAGCTTATGGCTATAGATATATACAAGCAATAATGCGTACATTAAACAAAACACTATTATCAAGTGTGAATAAGATTCCTTCGATACCCGGCAATATCTGGCATCAACTTGTAGGTTTATAAGTGGCGAATGCTGTTTTTTCCTTTATAAATTTTAGTAAATAGATGTTAAGATCTCTGCCTCCTTCACCTATATGATCCTCAAGAAAAACTCAAGGTGTCGAGAGAGCCTTGTCCTTGACTTAACACACACACAATGGGAAGTGGAGATAGCCAGTGATGTTAGTATGTCATAAGTGATTAAGTAGCTAGCTAGTAACTCCCCTCTTCAATTCCTCTCTCCCCCCTCCCCTCACATTCCCTCTCTCGTTTAGGTTCCTCTTCCTCCATTTCCCCCTTCCTGCCCTCCTTCCCATCTTTCACTATGTACCTCTCTCACATCTCCTCCCCCATTTCACTGGACGAATCAGAAACTATATTCAGTATCTGGCTAGACCCATTAGCGTCAAATTACTGCCCACTGTTGGACCAATAAGATGCTAGCTACTAAGGCAGTTTCGTAGCAGATTTTGTACCAATCAACATATATTTATTACCTATAGTTGGACCAATCTGCCTCCCACCGAACCAACCAACGTCTATTTACTACCCCCCATTGGACCAACCAGCGTCTATTTACTACCCCCCATTGGACCAACCAGCGTCTATTTACTACCCCCCATTGGACCAACCAGCGTCTATTTACTACCCCCCATTGGACCAACCAACGTCTATTTACTACCCCCCATTGGACCAACCAACGTCTATTTACTACCCCCCATTGGACCAACCAGCGTCTATTTACTACCTCCTATTGGACAAATCATGTGGTGGTTATTAGCGCAGGTCAGTAGCAGTGGGCCACATGGTTCCTATCTAAGAGCGACGCCCACTTAACCCAGATCAAGCCTCGCCGACTAGCGTACACAGGAAACGACACCACCACCTACTGATATATAAACACTGGTATGGGCATTCTTATTAATATCAGAATATTGATTTAAATACCCCAACCCGACAAAGGTGTTTCTGTCCATTGTACACCTACACTGTCAATGCACATTATTTACCTGTCTATGTATAAGCTGAAATAGTGTGGCCTTGTATGCGGCCACACTATCCTGATATAAAGACTCCTGTCACAGCTATAAACATCAAGGTAAAAATCGAAAAACAACATTGCTATGAAAATTAAATAATAGCTAGTCATTGTGCGGCTTTATAAACATTCCCACCCACCAACTTAGGTTCCATAACATTTCTGTAAACATTTATGGGAAGGTTAATGTGACTTAGGGCTTGTAAGCAGAATTAGCATGACAAAGGTCTTTATTATTATTATTATTATTACTATTATTAAATTATTATTATTATTATTTTCAACAGGTAGGGAGGTATATAACCGAGTGTAAAAGGTGCCAGGTCTGAGTTTATCGATAATTCATTAAGGTACTTATTTGTGTCAGTCGTGTACAGTTACCGCATAAAAAGTCCCTCATAAATCACTAAAACCATGGGAGGTATTTTAAGAATTGGCGTTACGCACTGGGTCCTTTTTTATTACAAGTACTCGGTCGGCTACTACCTTGTACATCAGTCTCGCTTCTCCACCACACGCGCCAACACCACCATCAATCTTAATCCTGTGACACCCCATCAGGAACCATGACGTCACTGTTAAGTCATCGTTTCGGTTCTTCTTAATTCTAATGACGTTTTCGCTGCGTCACCGGTATTTTGGCCAGGATTTCATTTACCCTATAGTCTCTTCTTGCCATTTTTTAGTTCCTGTTCATTATGCAGAAATATGATACATAAATACTAAACTGTTTTCAAGATTTGTTCGTAAGTAAAAGTGATTAACCACGTTTACCATTCGTGAAGTTCGGCACTGAACGGTTATCACGTTAAAAAAAATTTTAACGCTGCCGTGGAAGATCAGTGCATCCAACTTTTTACAGAAGAACAGATATACGCAAATTCAGGCCTGGATTTGGGTGGGGATAGTTTATTAACCTCTTGTGTAGGGGGTCTCTCTGTGCTGAATAAAATCATCTGGCGTTAGACAAACACAACATCAAAAGTGAAGGAGGTTAAGGGATTCACACGTGTATTTGTATTCCATTAAGTCTATACTAAAGAACGTATGTATCTTACCGTCTCGTCTGTGACAGTTTCAAGACCAATTTAGCAATCAAGTTTAAGTGGTAAATTAAATATTCACTATGAGTTTGAGTTGGCGATAATTTTACGTTTCGGGATCTTTACTGCACAGGAGAAGTGATTAGAAGGCTTATGAGACAAAATCATTGCATCCTATCACTTTTGAACTTTTAATATGACCTGGATTAAGGTGCATGTTGTATCTCCCCAGCACAAGACCTTCTTTCCATCTCTATTCATTCATTCATGTTTTCTGTCATTTAGTGTTTTCTTTATTCATCACTACCCGGTATAGGTTGACTTCAATGTTCTCCCAAATTTTCTGCGTTACTTCTCTCGTCTCCTCCTCCCTTTAATCCAATTCTCCATCTAATCCCCCGCCTTCCCGCTCCCCTCACCGACCACCTGTACACAGGATATAGTCCAGATGTACACATACATACGAACACATCCTTGGGAGCGTGTGACTGGCCATTAGGATTCCTACTCGTGTAATCCTATATGCCGGATGTTTCTGTGTGTGTGTGTGTGTGTGTGTGTGTGTGTGTCCTACAAAACAAAACAAAATGATTTATTATATATAACCAAGCAAACGCAGTCAGTGGTATTATGTGATATGCCCTTCATGATATGCCCACGGCGGTGTCTGTAGGCGCGTGGGGGCGTGTGTGGGGGGCGTGTGGGTAGTTGGGGCGTGGGAGGAGGGTATGAAGTAAAATTTTGTTTTATCTAGGTTTGAACACGCTGTTCATACACTTAAATTCTTCAGTTGCCTCTGAAGATGTCTTGAATAAAGATGAAAGTTAAGGTGCTCCATTGTTTCCTTTTTTCCTGTGGTTTTATTAACATTTATCTCATCCACGTTTCCATTATATATATATATATATTTCATTAGCCAAATAAAGCACGCAGACTTCTACATACAATCAACACCTCAACCCACCAGGATTCGAACCCACGGCCCCATGACTGTAACCGGGA